TTATCAGGGTGAAAAGGGGCACGTATCATTGTTAAAAGGGTGATTATCAGAGGAAAAGGGGCACTTATCGCATTTGAAAAGGGGCACTGACCATAAATGAAAAGAGGCACTTATGAGAATGAAAAAGAGACACTAATAATAAAGGAAAAGTGCTTTTGTTGAAAGAAAAGGGGCACTGATCATATTTTAATAGGGGGATTTTTGGAGGTGAAAGGGGGCTTTTATGAAAAGGGGAAGGGGCACTTATAAGAAGGAAACAGAGTATCTATTAGGAAGGAAAAGGGGAACGTGTTAAAATAAAAGGGGCTGTTATTAGAGATGAAAAGAGCCTTTTTCAGGAGGCACTTGTCAAAATAAAACGAGTATCTCTCAGAATGGAATAGGGTCATTTACAGAGATGGAAAGAGGCACTAACAGGAACAAGAATAAGGACTGTTTTCTTAGGTGAAAAGGGGCATTTATGAGAAGGGGAAGAGGCTCTTTTTTAAATGGGGGCACTTATTAGAAAGGAAAGGGGGCACATGTGAAAATTTAAGGGCGCTTATCTGAGTTAAAACGGGGTAGTTATTGAAAGGGGAAGGGGCACTTCTTACAAAGTTAAAGGGGCACTTTCCCTATGTAAAAAGCCTCTGCTCACGGGTGCTCTTTTTTGGAAAGAGCCCCCGTGGACAAGAAATTAATTTGAGCCCTGGTTGAAAGAGAGACCCACTTCATTGCTTCAGGATTGCACTTTTTTCCCCAGCAGTATGAACAATAACACTTGATGGCACTTTGAAGAAAAAAAATTTGGGTCAATTTATTACAGTTCGCCGCTTCATCAGTCTCGCACCCAGTGGCGTACCTGGGGTACTCCGTCAGGGGGGGGGGGGGGCAAGCGACCGAAACAAACAAAAAAGGCGATGCTAATTTTCACTTCTGGCGAGCGAGCGAGCAAAAAAAAAATCTTTAAGTAACGTTTGGTATATAAACTGGTATTGTTGCAAGTTGGGGTGGGAACATTCACTTGTTAGCGACGTTAATTCCATTTTTTTGCAAAGGAGCGTAGCGAGCAAGAAAAAAAAAAAAAATCACTTTTTTTTTAATAATTGCCACTTAAACTTGGTTCAATTGTCCCATGCAGGGCGCGGGAACAATATTGTGTTTAGGGTGATTTTATACCCATTTTAGCTAGCGAGCCAAATACATCGTTCTCTCAATGAATTGCTATATAAAATTTGTTTCATTGTTGCAGGTCGGGGGCGGGCACAATCGTGTTTAAGGCAATGTCAATCCCATTTTGGCGGGCAGGCAACCCCCTACATTTCTCTTTTTAATGATATTGTAGCAGGTTAGTGGTGGGCACATAATTCCGCGAGCTCGCGAGCGTAGCGAGCGAGCGAAAAAAAATCACTTCTCTTTTATAGGGAAAATATGGTACATAAAACTTGGGTTCATTGTTCCATGTCAGGGAAGTGATTATTAAAAGCGGTGTTATTTCTATTTTGGCGAGCGAGCGTAGCGAGCGAGCAAAAAAATCACTTCTCTTTTATAGGGAAAATATGGTACATAAACTTGGGTTCATTGTTCCATGTCAGGGACGTAATTATTAAAAGCGGTGTTATTTCTATTTTGGCGAGCGAGCGTAGCGAGCGAGCAAAATTTTTGTAATGATAATTGGTTCAGAAATTTCAGATTTTTTGTTGCAGGGCAGGGGCTTACACAATCATGTCTAAGGTGATGTTAATTCCGTTTTGGCGAGCACGAGCACACCAAAACTTCTTTGAATAACGTTTGGTACATAATTATTAACTGGTTGTTGCAGGTTGGGGCGGGCACGTTAGCGGTGTCAATTCCATTTTGGCGAGCGAGCATAGCGAGCAAGCAAAAAAAAAAATTCTCTTTTAATAGAAATTAATAAATAAACTTGTTTTTATTGGTGCAGGTCAGGATGGACGCAATCGCGTTTTACGCGATTCAATTCCTTTTTGGCGAGAGGGCGAAAAAACTCTTCCATTTTTAATGATATTGTTGCAGGTCAAGGGTGGGCACAATTATTTCCAAAGCAATATCCATTCATTTTATTCGCGAGCAAGTGTAGCGAGCGAGAAAAATGAATTACTTTCTTTTAGTAACATTTGGTACATACACTGTGTGTTATTGTTGCCATGGTTGCAGGTCGGGGCCAGTCGGGGCAGGCACAATTGTATTCTAGGCAATGCTAATCCTTTTATTTTTTCAGGGGGACGAGCAAGTGAAAACATTTAATACAAAATAGGCTAGCAAGCAGTTCGCGCCAGCGAAGAGTTTCGAATTTGTTATATCACTTATATTTTCCTATTTTCATTTGTCTTAATTTTTCAGGGCCGTATGCGGAATATTTTTCTGGTGGGGGAGGGGGAAAGATGCGTTAAAAGTTTTCGAAGAATCTCAAAAGCAAAAGGAGTGAAGGGAGTTCGAGCGACCGAACTGGTCATGAGGGTACTTTTGCATTTTCAAAAGTAGAATTGAAGGATTTGGTATAGGCCTACACTACATTTTCAGGAAAAAAAACTGTACGTTTTCAAAATATCTGGGGTCAACTGCCCCCCCCCCCCTGGTGCGTACGGCCATGGTCTTTTTTTTTTAATTTCCCCATTTTTTTCCTTTCCTTTTCTTTTCCCTTTTTCTTCCTTTTCTCTTCTTCTTCCTTTTTTCTTTCCTTTTTCTTTTTTCCTTTTTTTCTCTTTTTTCCTTTTTTCTTCCCTTTTTTTTTCTTTCCTTTCCTTTCTTTTCTTTTCTTTCCCCTTTTTTTTTCGCCTGGAGCCCGTCAGGGGGGGGGGGCACTCTGCCCCCCCCTGCCCCCCCATAGGTACGCCAGTGCTCGCACCTATGCCTATAATGTTTAGAGAATTTAGCAGTCCCATCTCACTACAAACTACTACTATCTCTAATTCGATTTACTTCTATTTTTGCATGGAATATGAATAAAAGCAACCAATCATGCAATCAATCAAACTATGTGGGAAACACATTTCGCTTTAGGAGAAACTAGCGAGGTGTACGTGTAACCTCTATGATCATATTACATCCTGCATTGCGCTACACGCAAACAGTTTCCAAAGGATGGTGGGAATTCCCACATTTGTGTATGATAGAAAAAAGTGTATGTTTGGTATATCGTTGTGTACGAAATGTTACGATTCATAATTACATGTACACTGTCCTGATGGAGGAATTGTTTCCTTAGTTTGATATATACTGTAGTTATCACATGACGCTGCAGTAGAACCGTATTACATAAGCAATAATCAGAAGGGGGGGGGATGTGCCTCTTACTCGAAGTGCCGCAAAAGCGGGCGTGGATCCACGGGGGGGGGGGGGGGGGGGGGGGGGGGTGTGGTGGTGGTGTTTTCCATTCTCATAAGTGCCCCTTTTCACTTTTGATAAGTACCCATTTCACCTCTGATATTTGCCCCTATTCAAATCCAAGTGGTGCCCCTTTTTCTTCGTAAGAATTGCCCTTTCCCCTATGACGTCCCTTTTTAAAAATCTCTGATAAGCAGACCTTTTATTTTTACACGTGCCCCTCTTCCTTCCCAATAAGTGTCTCTTTGCCTTATGAGTGCCCCCATTTCAAAATAAAGAGCATTACAAATTAAAAGGAGAAAATCTGATAGGTGCCCTTTTCTTTCAACAAATGCACATTTTACTTTCTTTAAAAAAGTACCGTTTTTTCATTCTTATAAGTGCCCTTTTCACCTCTGATAATTCTATTTTACTATTACATAAAAAAATGTCCTCCTTGAATAACCTGGATTTGAACTTTACCACATATACTCAGTCTGATGTTGACACTATTAAAGGTAAAGACCAGTATTGGAAACGCCCCAATTTCAATAAATGAAATGGAAGCTCTTATTACCATCATGTGAAAGAAAATGTTTTGACCAATACATGATGATAACAATTTTGCCGGGAAAACCGCCTACTAATTGATATATTTGGTAAATTAGTTTATCTATTGGGATGTGAGAAATAAACGCACGTGTGCGTAGTCCCATATACGTCTTTCTGTGTACAGTGCTTGTAACTTTACAAAGACTGGGCCAAATTTCTTATCATTTTGATGATTCCAGAACCTTGCAGTACACACCAATACTTATATGCTAGATGATCAACCTTTTCTGATCGATTCCACGACGTTTCTTCCACAATGCAATCGCATGACCAGAACTGGTCATCTTTAACGGAAATACTTATCCTGGAATTCGCAGCAGATTTCAATATATATGCAATGGTATATTGTGCCCCTCCGACAGAACTAGAGTATGTAGAGAGCTCGACATGTATTTGTACATATTGATTTGGAATGTCTACTCTGAAAAAAAGTATCATTTCAGCGTCTGTGATTTCAACCTTAAAACTTTTGCTCTCAACACAGTAGCCAACGCTTTCCCCCCAGCTACAGTGTATATATCTACAGGTAAACCCCCCAAAAAACCTATACAAATTGAGGGGGGGGGCGTGTCCCCCCGTCATGGCCACCCATGACTGTTATTACTATCATATTGCTTTAACTATCAATTTTGAGAGCACAAAATATGTGTATCAGTATTTATTTCAGAGCACGATAGACCCGTTTACAAATATTATGCATACTCTTGGAACAATTTTCTTCTTCAAAAGCTTGCCACAAGGAATGCATGCAAGTGAATACATCTATACAGATGCCATTGTACATAGCAGGTGATTCAAATGGTTTGTAACCAGGGGTTATGAGGGAGAATCACGCACATAGATTGAAAGACATTAGTAAACAGGTCTATTGTCATTGTGCATGACAGCTGAAATTATAGAGTACCTCTTCCAACTCAGCTTTAACAATCATATAGCAATGACACTGAATAGCACAAGGTTGGCAGGATCATCACGTGCGATGCACGATGGTATTGTTGTGAATGACAATAAAGTACAGTGTATCCTATTCTTGGGGTATAGACCACAAGCAAGCAGACATCAAAATAACAACAAAACACCCAAACTTGTAAGATTAGCATTTTAATCATTCAAACATTGTGAACACAAACTCTTATGGGTGAAAATTACGCATCATGCACATTGGAAAGTAAAGAATTTGTATACAGTCAATACAGGCTAAAATGTATGCATTAGACATGAAGAAAAAAAAAATGTGTGATAGCTGAATCAAATGGCATGTAACATTTCTTGATAATTGATATACTTGTACAGTCCAAGCTGTCTAGCAATCACCAGTAGACAATTTTGTATGTCTCCCATGAGCAGTCTTTATACACAGGTTTCACTGGACTTGTACAATCAAACCTGTTTTTAGCAAAACACCTGTATAGAAAGACCACCTGTCTATAATAACCATATATTTTTTGGTTTCCTTTGAAACAACGTTTCTCGTTGATATGTGTCTATCAAGACCCTTTTTTGTTTCTCCCTCAGGTGGTCTTTCTATACAGGTTGAACAGTATTTTAAACATTCACAAGCTATGCTCAGTGTTTACCATGTATAAAACCAGTTATGAGGGCAATACCAGTAATCTGAGACTAGTTTCTCGAAACCGTCATAAGTCCGAGTTCGCGGACATCCCATAGAAAGGAATTTGATTTCTATATAGCATAAGTCATTATTCTATGACATCCAATAGAAAGGAATTTTAACTCTATAGCATAAGTCATGATTCTATGGGATATCCAGAAAGTTCAGACTAATGATGGTTTCAGGAAACAGTCCTTTTCTTAATAATATAATACATGTATTTGAATAAAAAATAGTTATTACAAACATTTAAAAAGGATAAAACCCCAACTTTTACACATCATACACAAAAGACATAATGAAGATAGAATAATTATAACAATGTACATTATATTCACTGTATTTCATAGTCATTTATGACAATAATACATGTACAACGTACATCAACTATTGAAAGCCAAAAGGACGTTAACGTGTCATTAAAAGCAGAGTTTAACACCCCTCTGGCTCTCAATAGGCAATATGAGAGACCCGTTTCACAAAGCCTTTTTTCATTGACAAATGACAAAAATCAGTGACAAATCTGTTGATAACCAATCAGAAGCAAGGATTTCAGTAGCTTATAACAAAAACTGTCATGTGTCACTGATGACAAGTTTTGTGAAACGCCCCCCAGATGAGAAGATACAACTGGTAACTGGGAAAAAAAATTAGCGACATTTTGCTAAAGTTTTATTGTCAAAGAGTTGCAGGTGGGTTGTTTGATAAATTTGTTGCGTTCTGTTCAAGTGTTCATTGTGCAATCTAGTTTCAATTGGGCGCATACAAGTAGAAAATTAACATAAGTTTTAGACAGAATATTCAGATGTAGATTACAGCTACTGCAGTTAAAAAGTAACTGTAAATACATGGATTTGCTTCAACCAAAATTTGTATTTCTATTTTTGCTAGTGTTGCAAAAGGTATATCATAAAAGATTAATCATAACGTCTTTTTAATGTAATATAGTATCTCTTCAGTTATAAGAAATTGATCAAAGTATTTCACACAGCATTATATTTTTTAAGACGATAAGGCAAAGGAGTAGTAACAATTGATATAAAATTAGTTTAATGTTTCTTCCTTAAAAAAGGGAAGCACATTTTCAATTATCTCAAGCTGCCAAAAATGAAATTACACATTCATATTAATTTCTGAAGCGGGTAACAAAATGATTACTTTTATATTGGAGACTATACTTACAAAACCATTGGGATAAATTGGAGTAACCTAAATAAACTTCACATGTACTTCAATGAATGGAAAGCAATATCCTTTACATAATAATAATAATAATAATAATTAAAACGGTGCATATAAAGCGCTTACCACCAAAGTCTCTAAGCGCTATAATGAACAATGTATTGTTTGCCTAACACTTGAGATACAAAATATAAATGCATTACCATTTATAAACATTTAATCTTATTAGAAGTAATACATACTTTCTTTTACATCATCATTCATTCAGAGGGGAAAAATAATCAACATCATGTCATATTACAAATTGTATGTGACAAACTATTAACCTATGAGTCATACAAAATGAATAATTATATTACGAGACATCTGACCAACATGTGTAGTCTTCCCTTTTTTTTTTTTTACTAGTATAGTGAAGTGCAATCATTGTTTTAGAGAATGTAGTAACGATCTTTCTCAAGAAAAATAAAAAGTTATTCCTGGTGAAGTGATGGGTAGTTAGTTGTTTTAGAGGAACATGTAGTCACAAACTAATGCACAGGACTTTGAAAAATTGTAGTCTCGACCAGTCCCCTCTTCTCGGTAGAAGAAAGCATTTAATTTTGAGAGATCTGATCGTCTTATCTCTCTCTCTTACTTGTGGAGCGAAGGGTAGTCATCCTTGAGGATAGTGAAGTTGCGGCACGTCGGACAAGTTTGCTGCTGCTTCAGCCATTCGTGGAGACACTACATGCAAACAAAAGAAACAAAATGTGAATTTGTAATAACACCTGGTAAGGAGTCCAAGTACTTTATGTATTGCTAAAGACACAGCTGGTTATACTTCATTCAAGAAAAGCAATGAAACTACAAGTTTTCCAATTGTGCTTCACATTTTTTACATTGTCCCCACGTAAAGGGATTCCAAAGGATCACAGTTGGAACAAACATCTAATGACAAATCATGCATGGATACTAACGCCCTACCTGGTATGAATTATTTTATACAATATCACTCCTGTGTATGTAAAAATATGATCACACATATACATACCAACACCCTCACCAATATCACTTACATGTATATAGCAGTAAGACTTTACCTATAAACTAACACCCTCACTGACATTACTTATTTTATAATTTATCACTCACATGTATGTGGAAGATATGCCCACACTCTATCTCCAAGGTGTTATCCCCGCTCATCTCGTCATGGCAGATCACGCAGGGGTCCTCCTCTTCCGCCTCTCCATCGACAAGTTCCTTATGCCAGTTAAGCCCCTGGATGTGGCCCACCGTCGACCAGGCCGGCTGGGGTGGGGTAGGGGCGTTGTGGTACGAGGATCGCTTAGGCTGGGCGTTAAAGGTGGCCGGAGGGGCAGTGGGGCGACCTCCAGACATGCCCTGGTGGTTGGTGAAGCCCTTGTTCTGCATCCTCTGTGGAATGTAAGCCATGGGAATACAGTTCAATAATAATAATGCTAAGCATTTATATACCACCATCTATCTAGAATTCTATTCCAAGACGCACTAATCAATTATTACCCTGGGTTTAGCTCAGCTGCCATTACAGCCTTTAATCTCTAAAACACTATTTTTAATCAGTAAAACAGAAGTTTAGGTCATTATCATACACATCCAGCAGTGGTCATTGGAATTACAGAAACTCAAGGGAATAGACAGCTATTGAAGAACAAATGTCAAACATGATATTGATACAAACTTGTTAAACCTAACTTCGCTTTGCAGCTTCCAAATCACACCCTTAAGATATCTTTATTAATTTGAGGCAATGATCACATACCGGTATGCAACCTTAGATGTGGTCAGGAGTGTATAACATATAATGGCTAGAATACCTTGGTCCTCCTATAATGTACACACCCACACAAAATTTGACTTATTCAGTAGCTGCTAACAGTCTTTCAACACTCAATGGCCAAGAGATGTTGCCTTTTGGACTCACCTGAGAAGCATTGCCTGCCGTCTCTCTTTGTCGTTGACGGACGAGGTCTTTAACACGACGGATGATCTCTTCCACCGACAGGCCAGAGAGGGAGCCATTGTTAGATGTACGGACCTCCTTCAGAAAACCAGTCAGCTGAACCCTGTCAAGACAACAGATTTAGAGAAACATGAATATTTTTAAATGCTGAATTTGAAAGAAAACTTATAGTAGAAAGGAACAAGGATATTGAGCTGTGGAATTGTGAAAATGTGACGACACAGATTCAATTCTGATGTCGGTTGATGAAGATTAATAATAAAGAATACATAGAGCCTAATAGACAGAGATGGCAATCACAAGGGGTACTCTTAGTAGATTAATATAAAGATATTGAGCTGTAGAATTGTGAAAATGTGACAACACGTAGGTCATTTTACATAGGTTATTAAAGAAGAAAAAGAGCCTCATAAAAAAGAAACCTTTCAACATTGATATCTGAATTGGGTTTAATGGAATACACACACATGTTGCAATAAAGTCTGTCCAAAACATTTAAGCCATTTCTTGTCATAGTTAAGATATGAGGGCATTTGGAGAATAACCCTTTCCATGAGACATTATGATATTCCTCCAAACAGACATACAAAGAACAAGACAGCAATCATATTATTCATTATTGCTTGTTTGTTTGTTTTACTTGACAGCTAAGAAAGCATATGTATGCTAGTAAGTAAGCAACCAGGGGACCGACGGCTTTAAGTCCACGCTAAGGGACTTGGCAATGAGTATTAATGCTTTACCAAAGGTCACTAGTGGATCAAATTGGTTTTGAACCAGGGACCTCCCGCTTACGAGACCACTGAGCCATCGTGCCTCCTCTTCACCAGAGGGTAACCTTCTCTTTAAAGCCTGTCTGCACTAGTTTGGCTAGGGGGATTAGACCTCCCTGCAAGGTCACTGACAGGTGGTTATCTCATCAGATCAGCTCTCAATTAACATAAGAAAAAGGGGATCATGGGGGGACCAACAGGCACCGTTTAGGCATTGTTTGCTATATAGAGGGCGCGAGTAGCTAAAAGTAGTGCAGTGGGGTTTTAACACAGATTCTGTTTTTACTTACTTGTTGTAATTGGGGAAGAAGCCATGCAGCCTCAGCATAATCCGCTCAAAACTGTTCTTCGGTCGTGCCACTTGTTGTTCCATGTATTGCTGCCGTGCAAGCATCTGTTGTTGCTGTTGTAGCTGATGTTGGTGGCGAGCTGCAGCCCCTTGTTGCTGCGACATCTGCATTTGATGTTGAGCGTGTTGCATGTTTGGTGGAATAGCTGGTTTTATGGAAGATAAGAAAGGGTGGGGAGGAGGAAAACACATTGTTACATTAATAAGTAAGTATGGCCTGATGTATTTTTGCACTGAAAACAGTTAGATAATCTGGAAGCCTTTGGCGTATATGTCTCATGATAAATACAATGTGGCACGTGGAAATTATTTGTGCGGCATATGAAGAGTTTTCTCTTGTATACTAATGGTTGTTTCGATAGGTTGATAACAATAAATCAGTATGTTAACATAATGAGCAGTTACCAACATTCCAATTGAAAAATGCCATCATCTAATGTATAGATGTCTAAATTCAAAAGCATTGAATTTATTTTTCCTTACAATGTTAAAAAAAAGAAGATCTTTAACAAGTATCATCAAATAGCATACATTGAAGTAAAAAAGATGGATCTTATGATCATAACTGATTTTCTTAAGCTTGTTGTGATTAACCTCTGAATTTGGCTTTTGTACAATAGAATGAATTGTAATAGAAGTTCTACAAAGATACATACAAAATGGTGATAAAACACCCAAGTGAAAACTATCAACAAATCAACTAAAGGACATCGGCAATAGCCTAGGCAAATATGCGAACAATGACATGATCTACACTACAAAAAGGGGGGAGAAGATGGGTGAACCGGGAGCCCTGGTCTTAGCGACTTTTTCCTCAGTGGTCCATTCTCAAGCCCAGACTTACCATTAGACTGCTGGTGATGGTTGAAACCGTTGCCTGACATAGCGGCTTGCTGGGTGGTTGCCTCTCCCTGGGAGACTACCGGTGGAGTCTGGGCTCGGCTCATGGCTTGGGCTTGTATCTGCTGGGCCTTTGCCTTAGCCTGTGCCTGAGCTTGTGCATGGGCCAGAGCCTGGGCCTGTGCTTGGGCTTGCGCTTGGGCCTGAGCTTGTGCCTGTTCTTGAGCTTGAGCCTGGGCCTGGGCCTCTGCCATAGCCTCTGCTTGGGCCATTGCCATGGCCTTACGTTGAGCTTCAGGGACTGTGTGGGGTTGAGAAGCGGATTGGTTCTCCACGGCACCTGCTGAATAAAAATAAAACATTTGGAAGTGTCGCTAAACCCAAATCAGATACAGATAAAAAACTCTGTTCTTTGGATGTGTTAAGTCACTCAGTTATTTTGCAGACATGAACAAATTGTTAAATTTTCTGCCGTAGATTTTGTTAAAGCATTACCCCAAAATTTCCTTGTGATCATTTTATTGAAGATAACCTGGAATACAAAACTCATTACCAATCTGGGGAACCCCCTCTGCCATGGGTGCCACCATCATCATCCCTTTGTGGATGTTTGTTCTCACATACGCCATGTTGTAAATGCATATTGGTTTGAAAGGCTTTGACACTGTAAGAGAGCAGTGGAGTGTAGTGTGGGGCATAATTTCCAAGTTTGAAATTAAAAACTCACCACCATTCTGAGGCACCTCCTCTGCCGTTGGCGCCGCTATGATCCCATCCTGGTGGTCTACAGGTTGCATCCTGGGGGCAGACATCGTCCATGAGCCTGGGGCTGGGGCAGCCATGCCTGGTTCATGGGCCATGGAGGAAGGTAGGGTCAAGGCTGGTTGGGGGGTGGGTGAGCCGTTCGCTCCCTACAGGGGAAATGAAAGGATAAGAGAACCATTTACACACTGGGCTTCCAATCAAGTAAATCCACTCATATAGAGAAAGGCCATTATCATATGCAGCCACTGTCTTATGGAATAACTTGCCAGAATACCATTGAAAAATAAAAACATATGAAAAGCTCAGAAGTAGTGCCGGAAGTCAGACACTATGTTCATGTTCGGTTCGGCAGAGTTCGGCAATTTTTCACCCGAACTTGGTTTGGTTTGGGAATATAATAGCAAGCAGCGTTATAGCCACGGCGGTGGGCACTGGGCGGGTAGGCCGGCCGGGCCCGACCAGCACGGAAGACTTCTGCCCACTCCCGATGAAAAACACTGCTTCCGACCAGCACAAATTTCACATTAAAAAACTGTTTTAAACGTAATTATTTGTGAAGAAAAGTATTACTTACATTCGTATTTCCGTCTTGAATCATATTTTATTTGCAATTTTAAGAGAATCATGTTTTCAATTTGTCAAGAAATGATATTTTTTAAAGATTTTCCGAGACGGTTGTTGGATAATGTTAGAGTCATGAAAGCTGCCATCTTGAAAAGCGACTCAGGCTCGTCGATTACTGTTTTAATATAAGTGTTTATTTTCAATAGGAAAAATATAATATCCCTATTTTTCCTGAATAAATAAAAAAAATACCATACTATAAAATATATTTATTTCATTATTTATATTGTAAAATTTGTCCGATATTGTTACAATTAAAATATTTGTTGTTGTTGTTGAATTGGTTGGAGCTAAACTTGTTTTGACCAGCACCTAGATCACGCACATCATACATGCCAACATTTGAAAATCAGAAATCTGTACAAATTATGCTATTTTAAAAAAAGAGGAACAATCCTAACTCTCCTATTCAATACTACAGACAAATTTGTACAGGAAGAGGAACACCTGCATTAAAATGATAATTATCTTCTCCCAAAAAGAGGAATGTTCCTCTTTAATCTGAACAGTTGGCATGTATGCGCACATGTATTCTTGTTTATGGCTTGCGATCGCGACGTAGCAGAGGTCAGGATTTGGGATTTAAATGGCGACAGTGAAGTCGCGCCACCACTGGATGGGCATAAATCACAAAAGCGGAAACTGGGAAAAAAGTTAATATAAAATGAGCAATCATGACGGAAGTGCCATGTTCGGCGAACTTTCGTTCGGTTCGGCGGTTCTTCTACAGCACTACTCAGAAGTAATTTGAAAGAAGTAAATAAATAAATGAACAAACAAATACGAGGATATGGTGGGTCTGTCTTACTTTGACAAGGCCTTCAGGTTTGTATGGAGCAGGGACTTCCACAGGCTTCATAGAGTCCAAGGTAGCACCATTCTGGATGGCATTCACCTGTTTCTGAAATTCATTCTGAAAAAAAAAAAACACCAAACAACATTGAAAAAACAACAACATAATAATAATAATGATAATTGTAAGTTATAAAGCTTCTTTTCCACTAAAACACAAAGCGCTTTGAGATTCATTCATTCAAGATTTTAAAAATACAGAAAATTAAAGTTTTATGTATGAAAAAAAACAAAAACCAACATGTATGGAACACCAAACAACATTGAAAAAACAACAACATAATAATAATAATGATAATTGTAAGTTATAAAGCTTCTTTTCCACTAAAACACAAAGCGCTTTGAGATTCATTCATTCAAGATTTTAAAAATACAGAAAATTAAAGTTTTATGTATGAAAAAAAACAAAAACCAACATGTATGGTAGAGAGCACATTTTTTTTTAAATTTTTGGCCCTCGAAAATTTGAATAATCGCACCCCCCCCCCCCCCCCCCCCCCCCCTGGATCCGCCACTGGCATATGTTGGGTAACTGATTATGAAGATAAACTTTGTAACATGAAACGAAGAAGTAAATAGAAAAGAAGACAGTAAATTAATATGATAGGTGTATTACCTGTGCTTTCGATGCAGCTCGTTGGTTGGTTGCGAGACAATCTTGCCACATGCTCCTGATGGCTCTAACATGTTCCTCCATCATCGGGTTACTGTGAAACAAACGACAATTAACATACATAAAAATCAGTAAATGGGACCACATTCAACTTTATTGGAAGAGGAAGGTATCATTTTCAGTTTGGACCCACATCAGGGTTATCACAGGAATTTGAGAACCTAATTTCACATGACTTTCTATGACCCATATTTTAAGGGTTGCATGCAAGAGTCCCATTATCACATTTTGAGGTCCCTACTTAGGATCTTGCACCCACAAGTCTGCGGCCCAGGTTAGTATCAAGCCCTGGTTAAGAACCATACTTCATTGGATCAACAGCATTAAATGTACAAGATTATCCCCTTAAAGCCCATCTGTACTAGTTTGGCAGGGGGATTAGACCACCCAGCGAGGTCACTGACAGGTGTCTATCTCATCAACTCGGCTCTTGATTAACACAAGAAAAAGAGGATCATGGGGGACCAACGGTGACCACTTTTCTCCTTGTTTTCTATCTAGAGGGAGCAAGTAGCTACAAGTAGTCCAGTTGGGCTTTAAAACAAACAAATGAAAAACAATCTTACTTCTGGAGGATGTTTGCTATAGTTTGAATGTGGTTGTTGGCTTCCTTGCATGCTTCTTCCAATGGTTTCAGCTCCTTGGCCATAAACAGATGCAGGAACTGGATCTACAAAACAAAGAAAATGCACGAAGAAAGTGATGAAGAACACTAGTACAAGCATTGTTTAGTTTAATTCATTTAAGCACAAAGTTTTAAAAAATGCTCAAATTTTTTTTGAGGGCAAGTACTGGTTAAGGTGAAAGTTATCTAGAAGCGTTCTAATTCCTGTGAGGGAAAAAAAAGTAGCAAGGTCCCATGAAACAAACTACTCTTGAATTTCTTTATAATCTAGAGGAACGATGCAGACTATTTTCATTTCCTTAATTCAGGTCTGATCAATACATAAAACAATGAAAGAGGTTTTGAAAGAAAAAAATACAAAAACCTCCATATTTGTATTTCCATCCACCCCGGTGTTCACACAGATTTACTTGATCAAACAATCAGCATCTTCAAGAAAGAATGACTCGAACGTAACTTCCTGAACTATATAAGAATAATAAATAATAATAAATAATAATAATTAGGTCAATTTATATAGCACTGCTACTATACAAATATACTTAACTGCACTGTGTTGAAAATAAAACTCCCAACGGTGCAAATTTACAAACACACAAAAAAAGAAATACAGTTAAACCTGTTTATAGCGACCACCCAAGGGAAACACAAAAAGTGGCCTTTGTAGACAGGTTCTTTAGTACATGATTCAATGAGAAACCATTTAACCCATTGCTTACGGGAACCTTGTGGTCCTTGTGTTAAGTCTATGTGAATTAGATAATTCAGTAGCCAACGGGTTAAGGGAAACAACAGATGTGGCCTTTGTAGAAAGGTGGTCACTAAAGCAGGTTCGACTGTATTCAAAGAATTGAATGTAGCGGTAAAGATAGGGGGTCACATACCTCAGCTTTGCACGCCCTTCCCAAGGACTTCACAGCCTCTTCATCCCTGGCCTTCAGACGTAGCTCCAAGGCGTGCAACGCTTCCTTCAGCTCCTTGGGAACCTTCTTGGACTCCTCCATGTCCTTCTCCATCTGGGTCCTCCTGGAGTCTGCTGTGAGACGATCCTCGTTGAGCAGCGCCATCTCACACTGGAGCTTGGACACGTTGTCAAGGAGTTCTTGCTTTTCCGCCGTCAACTTCTTAGACTGCTTCTCAAGCATCTTGTTGGTCTTCTCTTTGTCTTTGACAGAATTCTGTTGAATAAAAAGACAATGATAGTTTATCATCGAACTGTACATGTAGTTTGGACACCTTGTCATGGAGTTCTTGCTTCTGCCATCACCTTCTTAGACTGATATCGAGCATCTTGTTGGTCTTCTCTTTGTCTTTGACAGAATTCTGTTGAAAAAAAAAGGGAATGACAGTTTATCTTCAGTAGTGATCTTCTACATGACCTTGACAGAATTCTAAAACAAGTTAATTCTATCCGGGCCCACTCTGCCTCCATTAGCAATACACAATGCCCTTTAGCGCCATCTCAGGTCAGCTGTAGCAGTATGGTCCCGTAACTCACTGCTTCCCTAGCTGTGCTGTTGGTTCTCGCATCTGGTCCTCTGTCTCCAAAGTGGGAGTTAGGTGTTGGTTCATCAGTTCAGTACTGCTTTAAAGCCCCACTGCACTACTTATAGTTACTTGCGCCCTCTATATAGCAAACAATGCCTAATCGGTGACCATTGGTCCTCCATGATCCTCTTTTTCTTATATTATTTGAGAGCTTATTTGTCAGTGACCATTCAGGGAGGTCTAATCCCTCCTGGCCTAACCAGTGCGGTGGCGCTTTAATGGTACCTGATAGAATGGACACAAACTTGTACTTACCCGAAGTATACCGATCTCACTCTTCAGAGATTCCGTCTCATCGGCTGAGGCTAGAACCAGTTTCTCGTATCTCTCCTTGAGCTCGGCAAGCTTCCGCTTAGTTTTCTCGCGTGATCTGTAAGTAGACATCAGAACGTACACTTTGATTTGAATTATTTATCAACTGCAATACAGCAAAACATTTCAAACAATGATATTTACATATACAAGAGAAACTATTGGTTGGTAAAAGGGGCCAGATAACAGCACATATGTCTTCATTTTTCCCCCCTTCAAAAATAATGCAGGGCTTGGGTTTGCATTTGGTTAGGTTGTACAATATACGCTCTTAGTGAATCTTGGTGACTATTGAAGAAATATAAAAAACTAGATAATGATGCCTCCGTCATAGAGCAATTTTAGAAACCAAAACAGAAGAAATTTTTAAAATTCCAGTTCAATTGTAATCCATTAACAGGTTCTCAGAATATCGTGATTACAAGCAATTTCTCATATACATATATGACCCTTTGATCTTTGACCTCATGACCCTAAAATCTACTCAGTTCATTGGCTCTGCAAGATGTCCTGAGTTAAATAGTAATCCATCTGTCAGTTCTAATAAGAATGCTTTCACAAGCTATTTTTGCATACATAATGAGCCAATGACCTTTGACCTTAGACCTTATGAACCAAGAATCTACTCAGTTTATTGGCTCTGCAAGATACATAAATGAAGTTTGGCAGGAATCCATCAATCTGTTCTAATGATTGTAAAATCACAAGCTATTTTTTGCATACATAATGAGCCCTGTGACCTTTGACCTCGTGACCCCAAAATCTAATCAGTTCATTGGCTCTGCAAGATACATACATGACCAAAGTTTGGCAGGAATTCATCAATCGGTTCTTCAGATAACGCGATCACGAGCTGTTTTTGCATACACATACATGCCAACATTTGAAAATCAGAAATCTGTACAAATTATGCTATTTTAAAAAAAAAGAGGAACAATCCTAACTCTCCTATTCAATACAACAGACAAATTTGTACAGGAAGAGGAACACCTGCATTAAAATGATAATTATCTTCTCCCAAAAAGAGGAATGTTCCTCTTTAATCTGAACAGTTGGCATGTATGCATACATAATGAGCTCTGTGACCTTTGACCTTGTGACCCCAAAATCTAATCAGTTCATCGGCTCTGCAAGATACATACATGACCAAAGTTTGGCAGGAATCCATCAATCGGTTCTTCAGATAACGCGATCACGAGAACGGGACGTACGTACGGACGGACAAACCGAAAACATAATGCCTCCGGCTACTTCGTAACGGAGGCATAAAGACACTTACTCTTCATACTCTTCGAGGATATTTAATCTCTTATTTTGTTTGAGGTATTCGGCTTCCACTTGGTGCAGGGAACTGAACAGCAACTGCTTCTCTTCTTTTGCCTTCTTCTCATGCAGATCCAAGTCTTTCTGTACACAGAAACATGGGAAGAATCATAAGGATGAGAAGGATGAGAACAAGAATGAGAAAAATAATAAGGACTCCCAGTTTCATACTTACGACAGATATTTGGCTTCCAAATTGGAATAACTCTCAACTTTTTCTCGTCAATTCCCTTCTTCTTGTACTATTTCACATATTATTTATTATTATTTCTCATACCACGTTTTTACATCAATCAAGGCTTGTTCAGGTATGGTGCGGTGAACCGCTGCAAAAAGTCTGCCACAATAAAAAATTAAAAAAAATAAATGAATGGCGACGGGGCGCATTAATCTGTGTTATAAGATACAAACTGTCGAGTGTATGAAGCTTTACGTCATCATTTTTAAAACGAACCACCACGGTTTTGCCGCGTCATATCTGAACGCGCCTTTATCGGGAGTGTGCACTGACGATTGCCTAGCTGACAGTCCACTTACTTCTCTATAGAATGTTTCTTGATACGATATTGTTCTCTAGTCTGTATGCTCTGTTCGCTCTACAATTCTTTATATATACCTCTATCAGGGATGCCAGTTAGAATTGATCAGAGGGCCTGAAAATCACCTACAATGAGCTATTTTGTACACAAAAAAGCCTAAACTATGGTCTGAAAATAACTCGCCAGGGCCTGAATTCAGGCTATTGCCTGAGAACTGGCATCCCTGCTCTGTACAAGTTTCTTATAAATGTCCTTATTTGTGAACAGACTACGAAACCCATAACTTGCCTGATTCTTCTCCTGCAAGCTCCTGATTTTATCATCTGCCCTCCTGGTGATGGCTTGCTGATATTCAATCATCCTAGCTTCTGAAATCTTCTTGTTGTTTTCTGCCTGTTCCAAAGCCAACTGGGATTATAAAAAATATATCATAGGTAAAGATTAAGTTGAGGAAAGAAAGAGTGGGGTTGATATTTGAAGAAATGGGAGAGGGGGAGATGGGAGTTGAGGGAAAAGAAATGGGTAAAAGGGAGATTGGATCAGAAAAAGAGGTATTGACATTCAAGCGGAAAAAGAGAAACAGAAGGAAGGAGGAAGAGAAGAGGGAAAATGGGACAAGAACAGCAATAAATTTAATAGAAAATTAAAAAATTGGGGGAAAAGATAGATGATAAAGAGGATAGGATGGGGACTAGGAATCCTGAGACAATAAAAATAATGTGCTTCTGATTATTAGAATGGCGCAAATTAATACATGGCACAAAAATTTATAATTTATGTAGTTTATAATAATAATTCCTCCAATTTTTCTTCTATTACACGGCGTGCCACAAGGTTCTATCCTAGGTCCTCTACTGTTTTATAAGTCGGCAAAAAGAAGTCGGCAAATTTATTTTTTTTAGGACGAAAAAGAGGGGTGCAGTTAATACACAAGGGCGGTTTATACAACATTAATTACGGTATAATTGAAGTGTATCTTGACACTTTTGACCACAAATACAAGTTATATATTTCAGAAAGTAAACTGTGTGAATTCCTTAATTTTAGCAATCAGCTGAAATTTTTATTTTCCTTTTTAACCTTTCCACTACAAAACAAAGACAACAGGAAAGAAATATTATGTTCCCAACTTTCTACATGCCATGAGAAGCTAACTTACCTGAAGAGATTCCATCTGCTGATTCACATAATCATCCGTGTTCGTACCGAAGGTTCTCTGCTCGTGGACCGGTGGTTGTTGGTCCTTCCACTGTTGCATTCGCTTTTCAAACATCTTCTCATAGTCGCTCTCAGATAATGGAGTCCTCTGCAATTCCTGCGTTTCTTTCCCACTCTCCTGTCTATTAACCTTTGGCATAGTGGTCTCCGTATTAACAACATGGGTGCTATTCGATACAGGGGTTGCTACTGGTTTTGAGATTGGTTGTTCAAATTTCTTGGTGTTGCTAGCACCAACTACTTCATCATCAGGTCGGGGATTCAAAACCCCATCCACAGATGTGCCATCGTCACTGTCAGCTTTATCCGGTCTAACAGACTGATTAACAGTACCTTTGTTCAATTCAGAAGTCATTTCATTAGATTCGGCGTAGGGTTGTTCTGTTGGCGCTCCCACCAAACTCGGGAAGCAAATGGAAGCAACCCCATTAACCACCATGAGTTTTCCAGGATTTTCAGTTATACTCGCAGATTCTTGTACTACACTCCGAGGTCCATCGCTTTGGATACTACTTCTATGTTCAGATTGACAACCACCGATTCCATCCCTATTAAGTTCAAAATCAGATCTGTCCATTTCAGAAGGAACAGGCAACTTAGTTACACTCTCTTGCCGTTCACGACCCTCTGCAGAGTCAACAGTGTCTTTGGATTCTATATTGTTACTAGCCCCTGTATTTCCCTTTGTCCCTTCTCCACCCCGCTGTACGTGTGATTGTTCACCATTTTTGTCCGTCTCCCCATGGACTACCACATCATCGTCCACCTCCTCCATGGTGAGTTCCTTGGAGCTATAGTGATCTTCCCAATGGTAGTCCTCATCGTCGATCCCATCGACCTTGCAATTGGAGGGAACGCTGACCTTGTCTTCAAGTATCGACTGATACAGCTCTGATTCTATTCCTTCGTAATTAGAAGCATGCATCTCTGACGAAGCATCGTGGAACGAATCTTCGGCTTCATCGTTGTCATCATCACTGTCATCCTCCTCATCGTCATCTTCATCATCGCTTGAAGTGGTGGTGTCGTCATTGTCCGATTCATTCTTGGTCCCTTCGCTCTCTTCTGTTTTAATTTCGTTATCGTCCTCTTCATCGCTATCCTCATCGCCGTCGAAAGAGTCCAACCCAGAGACGGGTCCTCGCTTTGTCATCGCATCAAACTGATCAAGACCCACCGACAAGGTTGGGTTATAGCCACCAAGACCAGGAATGAACGGAACAGAGTTAGGATTCAGAGAGTAACCCGCGACATCACCACTTAGTTCCCTTTCCTGATATCCGTTACGGATCGCTAGCTCTCTGCACTTCTGAGCATCACCCTTCATACTTGCGTAATCACCAATGACGACCATGTCTTCGGATTCGAGAAGGAATGGCTTGAGGCCACCTCGTTTAAGTATAAGTTCCTGGTGCTCAAATGTCAGGTGTTCCATATACCTGGTTATGATTGGATCTTGCAGATGAAGAGGGCCATTGCTTGAAAAGATTTCGTTGAAATGGCTGGCACAGAGGGAAAGAGAGAGAGAGAGAGAGAGAGAGAGAATTATGAATCATTACTTGCAATCGTTATTGCGACACGATAATACAACATAAACGTGCAGGCTCCTCATAAAAGGTGCTGAATTAGTACAATCATAAATTTTTTGACCATTTCCATCATTTTCCATCCCCAATTTATCTAACACTGAAATCTACTTACAGGAAAAGGACCGTTTTCTGACTCTTCTCTTCATCTGTCTCTGGCACAATGATGAATTCTTCCTTCTGGAACGATGCGTCAATCTTCCTCGCTGCATCCTGTAGGTACTCAGGAATGGCAAAGGGACGATCCTCCGAAACAGTCAGGGTTGAATGCCACCTGGAGTTTTGGAAAGAAAACACAAATATTGTCTTTTATGCATAGAAATCAAGTCTTTATACGCAGGCCCTGAACTACAATTCTTACATTGTTTAACACCAAGGGGATAAAGGAGGAGGGGACTTAAGCGTCTCTTCTGAATATTTCCAATTATCAATCACCAAATATAACATTTTTCCAGAGAATAAATTTCAAAAAATTGTTCATATATTTGTACCTGTTCTTCCTCTCTTGAAGTTCTTCTGCATCATCTGCTCCATAGAGATGTCTCGTGGTGGGCCCAAAATCAAATTGGACAATGTTTGAGGCTTCTTCATGCAACTGCAAGGCAAAAAGCAGAGAACAGACTACTTAGCAGACAATATACTCACATCACTGAAAATAGACATTTTAGTTGAGAGCCATTCAGCTTCGGAAAGTTAAAAAAAAGCTCTGGTAAAATATATCATCAGCTCCAGTTGTCTTTGATCAGGTCCAAAACCAATCAATACAATTTTTTGGGCCCTTTCAGCCAACTGTATGGTAAAGCAGAACAACAGACAATTAAACTAAAGGGAGATGTTCACTCGTTTCATAATTTGCTGACAACAGAATTGGTGGAAATACCATTAAAAAAGTGAACCTGTGGTCCCATCAAGAAATATCCCTGAGACTCTCAGAGAGTCTTCCTGAGATGGAAATGTAAGATAATGACTATATCATATTGGGAGATGGGTGGAAAATGCAGTGCATTGCCTATTGTTCTGAATCTAGTAAGTAATAAAACATCATCTTACCGTCACAGGTTTCCTGCTCTTCTTAGGCTGGGCTTTGTTGGTCTTTTTCTGATAGGGTACATAGATATGAAACAGAGAGAAGGACAATTATAAAAATGTTGAAAGTATAGGAGTGAAATAGTAAAACTACTACAAAAGGTTACAGACGCAGCTGCCCCATTAAATACTGTTGTACTTGTCTCTCTAAATAAACAGGAACTTCTGATGGCACATCATTATCGTAAATTTTGCGAGTGGCAAAAGTTTCATTAAATGAGAAATTGGAAGTGGATTGGGCATACGCTATGGACAACATCAGGTTTCATCGGACAGGCCCCAATATGGAATACCACGGGGGAAGAGAGGTTAGCTGGTCAAGAAACACCTGTCAGAAAAAAACAGGGATGCCAGTTAAAATTGATAAGAGGCCTGAAAATCACCTATAATGAGCTTTTTTGTACACAAAAAAGCGTTAAATGGCCTGAAAATAACTTGGCACGGCCTGAATTCATGCTTATGCCTGAAAACTGGCATCCCTGGAAAAAGGACAGAACAGAGGACTCTGGAGATCTTTCGTTGATGGCCTACTAAAGCTATTACTATCCTGTTTTCATCTCTCCTATTTCACTTTCACCTATGAAATCTATGAAATAAATTGTGTATTTATATGCTCTTTAATCATTCCATCATTCAAGTCCCAGCTTTTGATGTTAATTTTTATGAATTCCGACTTAAGTTAATTGACAATTTGTCCCCCTTTTCAGTCGTACCTGTTCGACGTCATCAAACTCGTCCCTCTTCAGTACGTAGGTAGCTTCTGGTTTAATCTCTGCTTCTCCTTCGGCTCCCTGGACTCTGGAGGTATCATTTTGAGTGGAGTCTGTTGCCGCGGCAATACCAGCATCCGATCCGGTCCTGGGTTTGGTTGCTCTATGAGCTGATTTACTGGATGAATCTGCAAGCAAGACAAGTAATAATAATAATATTCAGCTTATATATATAGCGCTTAATACATCTCGGCTTCTCTAAGCGCTTTAAAGATATACTATTACGCCGGTCATTGGATTCAATGCTTTCCCGCACACGATGTGTGCACAATCTCCACTCCCTGGGGAGCATTCCGGCCAGGCGTTACTCGACGCTCAAAAACTGTTTGACCAACAATGACGGTCGCATCCAGAGTTACCAACCTTGTGCGACCAAAAAAAGGAATGATGATGGCAAAAAAAAGGAATTTCAAGCAAAGAAAAGGAATTCATTAAAACTAAACTTACAACCACGCGCGACACACTTCCAATGCATAAATGTTCATTCATCATGCTGTTTTTTTCCATACAAGCAGGTAATTTTTTTGGTGGTTATTTTGGTATTATCGGCATTTCCTTTTTTTTGAAAATATATATATATATATATATTTTTTGTTAATTAAATTTTTTTATTAAAAAACGTGTTTTATGAAGAAAAAACGTAATACCGTAATTTGAGGGAAAAAACAGAGTAATTCCGGCAAAAACGGAATGGTTGGCAGCTCTGCGCATCCTACCGGGTACCCATTTTATCACCTGGAATTGGTGGAGGAGGTGTTGACTATCTGAATGATAACAGCACATAAATAGCTTTGGAAAGGCCTTCTTAGGACTCTGTCACATACATACGTACTAACAAAAACGATACATGAGAGAGGTGTGCGTTTGTAATCTGGTAAAACACAAAGAAATACAGAGGAGACACTGACAAAATCCCACATCATTCTTCGCCGACATCAAATTGGAAACAAGCCCTTGAGAACAGGAAAATATTTTTTATGTAACCTATATACATGAAAGAGGAGAGTTTGCGATCTGGTAAAGCACATTGTCAATGAAATACAAAAGACATACTGAGAGAATCCAACATCCTATAAAATATTTTTTATTTAACCCATGAATGTGGAGTGATATCCTCCAGTCAATTTAGGGACTTTGACTCAAATTAAAGGCTGTGTGAATAATTCAGACTTAAGTTTTCTTATCAAAAGAAATAACATGGTACTCTGTGCATTGATGATTACACATACTGTAACATGACTATTTTTACAAATGCTGTGCTATTACCATTTTAGGGAGCTCTACAAAAGAGCAAATTCTTGAAAAACCATGGTTTAAAACAGGAATTTAACTTCCATCATGGACTAAAATAAAAATACAAGATTACTAAACGTATGGACATGAAACCGCTACTTAAAAGATTCTCCTTTGTATGTTAGTTTGGGCCAATGTGTTTACCCACCTTCCTTTTCTGCATGAGCGCCCTCTGCTGTTTGACCATGTCCAGGTTGACCTTCAGCATCCCCTTGGCCCTTCTCTGCCTTGTAGCTATCACTTTGGTGATACTTCCGAAACTTCTTCCCTTTCTTCTGGTCCTTGGTGGGTTTCCTTAAAGAATGAACCAAACAAAATACATGGAAGTTTTAAGACTCTACAAATTATACTGAACGATCGTAGATTCATTTTTTTCATTTTTCACTAAACAAACAATAGACGCAAAGAAGCATGTATTTATACAAAAACAATGAAAATACAGATTAATCAACTTCATTGGCAATGTATACATATTGTTTAATCTTACAATTGATATAGAATGGAAAAGGAGAACTAAACAGACTGCCTATGATGGCTTTGTAGGGCAGTTCCGAATAATATACACAATAAATTGTTAAAGAGCATTAAAATACGACAAAAAAAGTTAGCTTATTGTGGAAAAGAGGTATTCGGAAGATAAAAGAACAACTGATATAATTCATTTGTAACTTGGAAAGCTGGCATGACTTGGTCTCTCTACAGGTATTGATAAAGTGACTGCAAAAAAAAACTTTGGCGGATATTTTAATTTTAACGTTAATCCACTGGGGAGGCACAAATATATGAGCTGAACTAAACTGCCAATCAGCACAGTTTGTTACACTGACACAGTAGTCATTATGCCAAAATATAAACAGGGGTCCACACCAACTTTTTTAAGGAAGGGGGCCCGGATTGGGGTTTTTAAAGTCTATGCATGAGCCATATGTAGAACAAAGTCAAGAAAAAGAAACTTAGAGGGGGGGGGGGGGGGGGGGGGGGGATCAAGACTTAGAGTTTGGGCCCCCATGGACGCCTGTTGGCGTCAAGCCCTGCATTAGATGATTTAACCATGATCCCTATTTCTATTAATTCCATGATCACAGACATTTTAATATCATGAATTCAATTAACCTTTTCTTCACATTCAGAATTAGACTTCCACATCACACTTATCATCTAATTATACAACAAAAGTTTTCTTACGGGGCAGATTTCTTCTTTGCTTCATCCTTGGCTGGCTTTGGTGGTTTCTCAACCTTGAACTCTGTCTTGATGATTCCATTACCTTCGATCACCTTAATGTAACTCAAGGTTCCTAGGCAGTCGGGTGTTGAGCACTTAGTCTTCAGAGCCTCCTACAACATGGAAAACAATTTGCAAGCATTGGTTAATATGTGTCCATAGTTCAGCATACAATCATTCTTCCATAGTTCAGCATACAATCATTCTTACAATGTCTAAATGGTAAAATCGTCGGCCGGCTGGTAGAAGGGCGTTAGCGCGAGCGACTTGAAAACTACTTTTCAAATTATTCACATTTAAAGATTTGTTTTATATTTAAACTGCTTTCCGTCCCGAAAATTGATTTCAAACATAAAAGACTAATATAAATGTTGTAGTAGAACACGGCCACAATTTTTTTCTCAGAAATAAGTCAGTTTTATAAAAGTCTGAGGCGATTTAGTGCTAACGCCCTTCTGCTTAACGCTTCATTTTTTACCTGAAGTTCGAGCTAACGCCCTTCTGCCAGCCGGGCGATGAAATACTCATTCATAAATTTCATTGATTGACAGTTTGGAAATGTGGCTTTGGAGAGGAATGGAAGGAATTAGTTGGAGAGACAGGGTCACCAATGGAGTGTTGCATAGAGTAAATGAACAGAGGAGCTTGGAAAAACAGATTTGGAGACGTAAGAAAACCTGGACAGGACACATCTTAACATGCTCAGTGACATCTTGGAAGGGAAGATGGATGGTAAACGGGGAGAAGAGAAAGACCAAGCATTGGGACGGTGTCAGACTTGGAAGGTGACAGATCATATGACATAATGAAGAAGAAGGCTACAGATAGAGAGGGATGGAGAAAGAAATACAGAAGGCTCTGGTGTGTGGACCTGCCTTAGGCAGAACACCTGAGAGAGATTTCATCAATATTTGAGTTTTTGTTACAAACCTTATTTGAATATTTAAATTTTTACATATGTAAGGCAGTCAGTGTGGCTGAAAGAGATCAAAACTTCCTCAAAGAAAAAAAGAAGAAGCTCATTCCCATCCCCCCCCCCCTCTTGTTGAAGAGCCGTTTGAGTGACAGCATGACAGATATGGGCACAATATATGAAACCATGTTGTTGCTCATCATAATCACAATCAACAATCAAATCATATCTGAATAGCACTTAAAGATGTTACCCCCTCCATCACTTCCTCCTCCTACCCCTAAATTGGCCATCTCAATCATCATCATTGTTTAGCGTCTGTTGTCCAATGCTGTGGGGTTGGCAGTTTTATTTACCTTATGGCTCTTCTTGCCTCATGGTATTCAGCCTGGGTGACACCAGATGCTTTCATATTTTCATCTCATGTCTCCTTCAAGGTTTTGCATAAAACACTAAATGTAAAAGACTGTCCTCCGACTCACCTTCTCGCCCAAGATATTGCTCTCATTCTTGATGGCCTTCCAGCAGTTGATGTGGTAGTCGATGTAACAACGTTCGCTGCACTGTACCTTGATGTAACCCTTGAAGTCTAGGTCGGAGAAGTACATCTCCCTCTTGGAGGTGCACTCCATGTACCTGCAGGTGGCGTCGGCACTGGGTGGGTTCTTGCACCAACGCTGAAGCTCTTTCAGTGCAGCCTAGGTTCAAACCAGAGGAGTTGCAATGATTGAAAGGTTGTGATAATGTTTGAGGATTGCCTTAGCTGACGTAAGCAACCAGGGGACAGACAGCATTAAGTCCCCTCCAGGGGACTTGGTAAATGAAGATTAAAGCCTTGCCTTGTCTATGATGTCAAGGCTTATGTTTATTTATCACTTATGCTTTCCAGTTATTACTGTTTTGTAGCTTGTAAAAATCCCATGTTACATTTCCAGGTTTTAAAATATACAAAAAATGAATTGAATTGAATTGAATATTATTATTACCTTGACGTGGAAATAAATAAATGCAAATGAGATGGATTGTTGGTCTTACCTCGAGCTTGCCTTCCTCCGTCTCTTCAATGTTGGTCGAGGTTCCGGGCCATGTGTGGATGGTCTGATCGAATCGAGTGGTGATGAACAGGCTCTTCTCGATAGGATCAAGCGCTTCAGTAAACCTGGAGGAAATAACACACGTTTGATAGATGTAGAGAGAATTGTAGACATATGTGTGTGTGTGTGTGTGTGTGTGTGTGTGTGTGTGTAAAGTGCACTTGTAATAAATAAAAAGGGAGAAAACGGGCCCCACACTTAAGTACTTGAAAAAATTGGCCATTGTGTGTATGATTGGACATTTTTTAAAGGGAAAACAGACATTTCTGAATTTATAAAAAAAGACCTCAGTCTGTAATACAGGATAATTAATGTATTCCATACCTGTTTAATTTGAAGAGCGCTGTCGCCAGGCCGTAAAAAGGTAGTCCATTTCGCATGTTGGGGAAGTCCTTTGTGATACTTTCAAACCTGGACAGAGCTTCGTTGATTTCCTAAAAATTTAAAACAGAAAATCAAATGGACATGAAACTAAGGATCCGTTTGTTGTTGTCAAAAACAAGTAAGAATATTTCATAAAAGCTAGTGAAAGCTTTGGTTTTGATTTGCTATGAGCAAATGTGTAACACATTCATGACTGAAATCAATCTTAACTATGTACATAAAAGATAGATGACTGCAAACTTGCAATTAATTAGAAAACTTGCAATTAATTAGAGGACTTGCGATCGACTTGAATCAATGCCAACTCTTTATAAAATGGGGCCAAGAAGACATTTCAGTTCATGTACAGCATGCTGAGGAGGGCTGGTACTTGTGTACTCAGAGTTGATATCAATGGTATAAATTATCGGTGAAATTGCATATGGTCTACAGCCAGCCTGTCTACAACTCACATGGTCTAATAATCATTTTGTCTAATGATCATTTAGGCTAATAGCTGTTTGTTCTAATTTCCATTTGGTCTAATCTCTAAAGAGGCCACAACCCATTTGGTCTCTTGTTCATTTAGTGACTTAGTCTAATACCCAGTTTTTTCCTGGCCATTTTGTTTACTATAAATAGGTGTAATAATAATTTGATGATTATTATTACTTATGATTGAATGATAATTAGACCATACAGATATTAGACGGGCTGGGTGTAGACCAATTGGGTAGTACTGCAATAAACCAAATTATATACTTACTAAAGGTATTCCGGACTTGAGGTAGGCTGTGGCCTGAGCATACAGGAAGACCAAGTAGTCTGCTTCATGCATCCCATAATGCTAAACAAAAGGGGAAATACAGAGAAGAGAACAATTAGAAAGGTTTATTTACACATGAAGGTGTTCTTGGGAAAATGGTTGTATCACACATACATGTACAAGAAGGCAATACAGAGATGAAATAAAATTGGAAAGTTCTATTTACACATGAAGGTATTCTTGAGAAAATTATTGTATCACACATACAGGAAGACAAATATGTAGTCTGCCTCGTGTACTCATGCAGATTAAAAAGTATAGAAAAATTGATTTGTACATTCAAGGTTAGTGGAAAAAAATGATAGTGGGTCATATATTCCAGGGACAATCTCTATGTTATTCAAGGTGGTCAACAAAGTGTTTTTAAAGACGCATAGTAGTGGGCTCTCATGGGAAATTGGAAACCATTCAGGCGTTTACCAAATAACAAGTATTGTCAATCACCAGGATTAGCCTTCAGTTGTAGAGTTTACCACTGTAATCTAGCCTGTGTCTATGAAAGAGGGGAGGGGCACATTTACACACAATGCAAGCTTCAGTCATCAACCTGGGTTTGATTCAAACCCATGATCTTTAGGTTCCACAGGCAGACGCTCTACAAAATGAACCAACTTGAATAATATCCCTACCTCCTTTTTAGTAGCCTTCAAGAGTTCTGCAGCCCTGTCGTACTGGGTGATAGCTTGGCGAGACTGACCGCTGACTAGGGCTAGGGAACCATCAGCTAGACACTTCTCTATAGCATTCCTCTCCTTGGTCAAACGCTCCTAAATATAAAAGTAAATAAACATAAAATGAATGATAATACAAATTTTTTTAATATATCTTTTTACTAAGTTTAACTGAACTGGGTTTGTTTTGCATTTATTTATTTGATAATGAAGAAAGGTGGCTTTTTGCTATAACATATGCATTTCTTAAAACATCGTCGATAATGATCAATATCAAAGGTGTGCATAGAAAATTACGACAAAATTCTCCTTTCCAGCAAATCAACTGGTTTACATGCCAAACACAATAGCATACCTGCCAACACTGACAGCAAAGAAATAGGAACAAAACAAATTATGATATATTTTTTTAAAGAGGAACATTCCTAACTCTCCTATTCAATACTACAGACAAATTTGTACAGGAAGAGGAACACATGCATTAAAATGATAATTATCTTCTCCCAAAAAGAGGAATGTTCCTCTTTAAACAGTTGGCATGTACGCAACAGAGTGCTACAAGAGTTTGGATACAGAGAGCTATATGAGATAAGGAGAATTATCAATTCACTGAAATTCTTCTTTATTATCAATAAATCATACAAGGAAATTTCTTTTGATTACATGCACGATACAAAATAAATAAATAATGGATGTGATGATGACAATACAATATTATGTTAAGAAATGTTTGAGTAAAAACCTGTTATATGAGGCAAGAATAGATAATTTTTTTCTTTCCTTTTATCTATTTGTGCTTTAGAGGAAAAATAAACTCATCTCAATTGACATACATCAAAATTCAATTTTGCTTGATAGAATATTCATCAATTATCATTGTACTTACATTTTCCCTTCGCATCTGTTCTTTCTGTTGCCTTGCTATCTCAGCTTCCCTCTTGGCTTGTTTCTCCTTCTCCTTAGCATGTTTTTCCTTCTCATCTCGCTTCACACGCTCTTGCGCTTGCTTCTCTGCCTCTTTACGTTTCCTCTCCGCCTTCTCAGCTTTTCGTTTGTTCCTTTCTGCTTTTCTTTTCTCATCCTCCTCCGAGCTTTTGTTTGAGGCCTCTACATCGTGCATAATCCGTTGTCGTCTTCTAATTTCTTGCTCTTCTTGGCGTTTCCTCTCCCTTTCTTCCGCTTCCCTTCGCTTCCTATCTGCCACTTCTTTCTCCTTCCTCACTTCTTCCTCTTTCTTCTTCTTAGCTTCTTCAGCTTTCTTCTTATTGAAGTCCTCCTTGCTCTTCTGCAGATCTTGATTGATGTCTGGGAGTTTGCTCGGCTTTCTGGACTTCCCTTTGCGATCCTAGAGTAAAGTAAGACAAGGAGAAAAATAAATTAGATACTGATAATTCAGGCACATTGTGAAACTGTCTCAAAACAACTGGGAATGATTGATTATTTTGCACATAACAATAGACAATTTTCGTAATGTAACCAAATTTATGCATATGCCTTTGAGAAGCGCCTCGATACAAATTATTTCATTTACCTGTTACAAATAAATCTCATTAGTTGGAATTCAAACTGCATGTACTGTATTTTTTGCTAGGTACTTGGTACTTGGTTGGGTAATCCCTTTGGAAGCTATACTGGGATGGGTAGGTAGGACAATAAATATTGCTTGCCCTACCTAACAACACGTTATCTCTGCAATTTGCATTCTGACTATTGAAACACAATTATCGGTAACAAATGAATGATTAAACAAGTGAATTAAATAATTTGTATCGAGGCAGTATAAATTTGGTAACATTACAAAAATTGCATATTGATATATACTGTCAAAGTATTGGAATGTTTATTGAATTATTTAAATATATATATATATATATATATATATATATATATATATAATAAAGGTAAAATTGGATGGATAGTAATTCTTTAATTTTTTGATGTATTTGAATGCCCCTGTGGATGTATTATAAGCACTAGAAAATTATGCCCCCAAAACACTTCTACTTTCGAGAAATTGAATAATAGCACCTAAGGCCATTCCATGGTAGCTGCAACCATGAAAATCTCAGAATATGCAGTTCTCATATCTAATTTCCAAAGGGAATAGCAAATCGGTTGATTGTGGTCAAGAAACATTGTTTTAACGCAAATGTTGTCATAGTAATTTAGTATTCATTATTGAAAACAACTTTTATGAAACAGGGCCCTCTTTAGGGCAGTGACTCACTGAATCGCTATCACTGTCCGTCTCCGACTCGCTCACAAGATCAGGGACCTCATTCTTCTTGCTGTTGAGGCTGACGAGCCTCTTCTTCTCATCGTTGAACATGGTCGCCTGCCGCTGGAGGTCTCCCGTTTGTGATCCCCCGTCGTCGCACAGCTTCTGCCCTCGCTTGTTCTCGCGCAGTGCACGGTCAATGTCCTTCAGCTCAAAGAAAGCTTGGGCGTAACGGTAATGACCCTGTTAGAAGAAAGAGAAGAGAACGAAAGAAATACAAAAGTGATGATCATATCATGGGTTAAATTTCAATGGTAGTTTGTGAGGGCTCCACACATATTTTTCCAGAGAGTGTCTGAAATGACCTTTTCACCCCAAAAACAAAAAACATGAATAAATATACACACACACCTGTATGCCTTGATCCCTAATTCATTTGTCTTTTTTTTTTTTGGGGGGGGAGGGGTTGGGGAGTCAAGATTTGAAAATCGGAAAGCTCTGGGTACCTCACTCCTAAGAGTAAAGTTATCATTCTTTTTCAAAATGTAATGTCCACCATTGCACATTTTATCATCAAATAGTGACGAGCTAATCAGTAACAAAGGGACAGTAAAGTAATCGGAACTTCAAATTTCCGTAATGTGTCAATAATAAGGGCCGCAAATTTTCTCTGTGCAAAGAATTTGGACCCCAGTTTTCTTAATGTGTTAAGAATTAGGACCCCCAATTTTCTTACTGTGTAAAGATTTAGGGCCTTCAACCTTTTTAATGTGAAAAGAATTAAGACCCCAAATTTTCTACACAATACTCATGGTATGTTAACAAGAGAGAAACCTAAAATGTCTCTCACGATACCAAAGAAATATAACTTAGTGTGGAATAACATTTCACACTTATAACAAAAGTATGCAAACCTATTTCAAAAGAAGCAGTGCAGACTGGTTGGGCCTTAGAAAGTTACAACAACAACAACAACACAAATCTGATTATAAATCCTATTCTAAGAATGGTTAATTACCTTTTGCCAATCAGGTTTGATTGTGACGGCTCGACGGGCATCCCACAACGCATCCCAGAAATCCTCCATGTGAAGTGCCGTCTGACAACGATTGCTGTACAGGATGTGGTTGAATACACTGCAAAGGGTACAGGATATAGGACAAAACGCTTCAGACTCATGCCACAGGATATAGGGTTAAGGTTATGACTTATGTGATGTTCAGGATATTGGATCACACTATAATATAATAATATGTTAACTCATTGAAGCCTCGTCAGCATCACAAGAATTGTACAAAAAATCAATACAAAGGAATAACTGTCAATGAACCAAATGAAATTGTAAATATTTTCAATAACCATTTTGTCATCATCTGAGAAAATCTTATGAAGTCCATTCCTGATTCTCGTATATCATTTTCTGACTCTTTACAAGGTGACTTTGTTCAGTTTAATTTTTAAACCAGTAACTGCCAATGAAATTTTAAAAATCGTCAATAAAATGACTAGTGGAAACAGTTCAGGGTATGATAACATCAGTAAACGATCTTTAAAGTCTGTTATCAATCTTTTACTCGTACCTTTAACCCTAAAGAGGCCCAGGGAGGGGGGGGGGGGGCAGCCATTATGGCCCACCTCCACGATTTTTCTGATTGTTCGGGATTGCGATCAATTTCTATAAACAATAAATTACTTGGACAATGTAGAGTATTTAAAGTACCTTGGAGTACTTTTAGATGAAAATCTATCTTGGACTTCCTCATATTAATTATATTACAAAAAGGTTTCTCAAAGAGTCGATATTATCAGTCCAGTTTGTTGTCCCACTCCGTATTTTATCAATTTATATAATGTATTTATTTTGCCATATATTATATAACATATATTATGTATTGCAATTCTGTTTGGGCGATGAAACATGTAAATCTAGGTGTCGAGTTACAGAAGAACCTCAGCTGGAACCAACACATCAACACTGTCACCAAAAAGGCCAACTCCACCCATGCCTTTCTTCAAAGGAATATCCGACCATGTCCCAGAAAGGTTAAAGTGCTGTGCTACAACACTCTCCTTCAAACAATCATGGGAGTACGCCAGCATCATATGGGACCCTCACACGCAAGCAAATATCAAGAAGCTTGAAATGGTTCAACGACGATATGCCCGCTTCATCTGACCACTGCAGGACAAGCAGCGTAGCAGCCATGCTGAACCAGCTCAAGTGGCCAACATTACAAGAACGCAGGGCACAGGCTAAGACGGTGATGATCTATTGCATCACCAACTCGCTGATAGACATCCCACACACTTCCCTCACCCTATCTACACCCCTGCTCAGAGGGCATTCCAAGAACTGCCTCCCTCAGAACACCGTTAATTGTACCTCTGCTAACACCTTCAAGCAAGAGGTACAAAAGGCACACATCTGCACTGCACCCCAACAGTATGACAATACACCTGACAATGGCCTGTACTGCAACTGAAGAAGAAGAAGAAGAAACTTACCCTATTGCCAGAGCCTTGGTATACATCTCATGTGCATTGCGGAATTTGTTGTTTTTGAAGAGATTGTTGCCTCTGTCCTTTAAACTGTTCATGTCCTATTCATTTAAACAGAAAATGAAAAAATAATAGAAATCAAAATAAAATAATTATATGAAATTACACAGAGTGAAACCCGAGTTAGTGGCCACCTGTCTATAGTGACCATGTCTTTTGTCTCTCTCTACTAACATTGAAATTCATGTTTGATATTAAAATAGATAGATAAATAAAATAAATCAATAATAAATAGATATATAAAACTAGATGTATGTTCGACAGCGGGCAGTCGAAAATGATGCCTCCGCCATAGAGCAATTTTTCAAATTCAAGTTTGATTGTAATTCATTTACGACAGGTTCGCAGAATATCGCGATTACAAGTTATTTTTTATATACATGTATGACCCTTTGGTCTTTGATCTTACTGACCCTAAAATCTAATCAGGTCAATGGCTCTGCAAAATACATACAGGTCTCGAGTTTGATAGTAATCCATCCGTCAGTTGTAATAAGAAGGCGTTCACAAGCTATTTTTGCATACATAATGAGTCCCATGACCATTGACCTCATGACCACCCCATAATCTACTCAATTAATTTGCTTTGCAAGTTAAATACATGTTTTGATGGTAATCTGTTTATCGGTTGACCTTTGACCCCCAAATCTAATCAGATCATTGGCTCTGCAAGATACATACATGACTGAAGTTTGGCAGAAATCCATCCATCGGTTCTTGAGATACGTGATCACAAGATATTTTTGCATACATAATGAGCCCTGTGACCTTTGATCCCTGACCCCAAAATCTCATCAGTTCATTGGCTACGCCAGATACATAAATAGTTTAAGTTTGGCAGGAATTCATCCATCAGTTCTTGAGATAACGCGATCACGAGAACGGGACGTACAGAGGGAGAACCCGAAAACATAATGCCTCTGGCTACTTCGTTACGGAGGCATAAAAAACGAATAAATAAATAAAACTTCCACATCACTGATTCTTATTTTTTCTTCTTACATTTACAACCCTGTAATACCTCTATTCTACAAAACGAACTTACCTTTTCATCCCTTTCACCCAATTTCATGAGAGTAGCTAATATTTCCTTTTTATGAATCACTGTGTGGTGAACATACTGCCAGTCTGAAATCAAAAGAGAAAAAGAGAAGTCATTAATATTCCATGCAGACAAAGACAAGTAATTATACTATCACATTTTCTGGAGTGTACGCTTTTTGAACGCCAGCAGAAATTTTGCATCAACAGTGTAAATGCTTGCTCTCAAAACATCAATGAATCATTCAGTTTTTGCCACGCGACTCTCCTGGCTGCGGTGCTAATGCATAGAAGGCAGCAGGAAGCCACGCATGCACACCAGTTACAAAAAAAAAAACATTGACAAACAAACAATTATCAAACACAGACGGTTCCTCATGAGTTTTTCCAGTCATGTAATGGCAGTCCAAAACACCAAGGCCCGAATTAACAAAGGAGGTTTGTCGAAAAACCTAGGTTTATGTGCGTCATATGACGCGTTTCGGACCAAGGTTCAGACCTAAAACGCGTCAAAACGCACATAAACCTAAGTTTGTCGACAAACCTCCTTTGTGAATTCGGGCCCAATGGTTTTTACAAAATGGTATTTGGGCTGTATAAATGGGCCTACTGAACACCATAGAGGGCAGAACTCACATTGCTTGATAGTGACCAGAGCCATTAGACGACTCACTCGACTGTCCTTCATTTTTTTTCTCGTCTTCAAGTTATCACTGCAAAATGAAGAAAAAGCAAAGAAAAATCATTATTTCCTCATATCATTCACATATTCAATGCCAATGAGCTTTTGTTTTGGACCCAATCCCCTTCTGCCCTGAATATGTTTGGGGTATGAGATGCAGCCTAAATAAAGATCCTATGCTAATACAAACGTATAAGGTTTAATTCTGGATAATGTTCCACAAAATATTAAAAGACTCATTCACTCATTTCTCAGGAAATCTTGGACATTTTTGTTTTTTGAATGGAAATTGGGGAGTAAACAATTAGCTATGTGTAACATACGTCTTACACATGCTAATATGTGTGTTACAAGATACAGATACAGACATTTAACGCACATTACACTCATGTAACTTATAAATTGGGGAAAAAAATGCGGCTCGACCTTGCCATAGTTGTAAAAGTAGAATTCAAAGACAAAAAGAGGAATACTTAAATACAAACTTACTAAAATGTGACAAAATATGAATTGCTTTTTGCTACTTCCATGGCCACCTGAAGTTCATCAACCTGTGCAAAGGAAAAGATATAAGTTCATTTATCATGTACGTGTGTTTTTTTCTCCTATTAACAAATTTAACTGTGAATAAACCACACTCTTACGATGCGAAAGTGATCTGATTTTCGAAGAAATTGTATGTACTGTACAGTCAAACCTGCTTTAGTGACCACCCGTCTACAAAGATCACATTTTTGTTTCCCTTGAAAATGGTTTCTCATTAAAACATGTACTCCAGGAACCTGTACATAAAGACCACCTGTCTATAAATATCAGACTGAGGTTCAGACTAACGATATAAAAATCAACAATCAATGTTTTAGAGGATTGGATCAGGATACCTTCTAGTCTGAGTAAAGCCTTGTGTTCAAAGGGTTAATAAATCTCTGAGTATACTCACTTTCTCCACCTCCTCCAGGAGCCATGTCATTCGATCGTAATCATCTGTTTGCATCTGTAAACGTTGAAAACAAATAAGTAAATATATATCTGATAAGAGCCTACAAATTTCTAATACTTAGTTTTCAATATAGAATCAAATTTGGTTCCATTTGAGTTAAACAAAAGGTCAAACAAGGTCAATGCACTTTAGTCGCCATTAACTTCAATTTTCGGGTACCCGGTTCTGCCTGTTTTTTCCAACTCGAACCCGGGTTCGTATAAAACCTGTGATGACTCGGGCCTATCTCAAACCTCGCTGAATTTTGGCTGAATGGAAAAGAGGGAACTCATTTCTCCAGGTCCCCCCCCCCCCCCCATAATTTCTAGGATAGCTGGGCACCATGAGTAATGTAATACTTACGGTTGAGAGCTTGGTGTGTATATATTCCAATACTTTGTCAAGTTCATCTAACCTGAAGAATACTTCTTTCTTCCTCTCGAGCGGAGCCAAACTGTAGAAAGAGAACATGTGAGTAAGAATAATTAAGGAACTAAAGGAGCAAAAGTGGATTGATGTCTAACCAAATATATTCTGCTCAAAGGAATAAACAAATGCTTGAAGTTTAAAGAAAATATTCAATATCAGTGAGGAGAAAAGAATACAATAAACAGAAAATGATGTGTTTCAATAATGTGGTATAAATACTCTAAAATCATAGAAATTAGCACCACTACATTAATAATGGAATACAACACTTTTGTCGGCAGCTGTATAATGTAAATCCAAGGTTCAAATTTCTTCCCACTCTAGGGCATCACCTCCGACCTCAGCATAAATTACAAATTGATCAACAAACTTACTCATCTATGATAAGATCCAGCTTTCTCATCCACTGCTGCCACTTAGGGGCGAGGGTGCTTCTGTTGTAGAGTAGCGGGGCGAAGAGAACGATGCGCATGTTGGTCTCGTGCATCTTGCGTCCGTCTCGCAGGTGCTTGTTCCATATTTCCACCACTTCTTTGGCCTGTAGATGGGTGGAGAGGTGTGGGGGTGGGGGTAGATGAAACATGTAAGTGTTCATTGTACAGTATGCGATCCGACTTTGTGATGAATTGCAATATATTGGGATGTCATTTGATAGGTATCTTCAGAAGTTTAAACTTGTTAGGGTTCCTAAAAGTCATACAAATAAAAATTAAACATTGTTGGATATCAAAGGCATTCTGGTAAGAGAAAGGTTTGATCTGGGGGGAATTTTAGAAACGTCAGAACAGTTGCAAGACTGTCAAGATTCAGAGCCCGATTTAGACTTTTTTCTGCTTAGAAGGGCTACAATGTCTTGACAAATTTGATTTTGCTAATTCAAAAACCTTAATCATGAACCTGTTACATGTGCCGGGATTGAACCCATGACCTTCGCCTCTCCAGTCAAGATACTCACCTCACACGTTGCATGGTATCTACCACACTTGCAGGATTTGAGCTTGGGCTTGACATCTGGATGTGAATAAATGGAAATCTCTTTCTCTTTCTTCTTCCTTTCTCGTTCCTTCTCCTCCTGCTTTTCTTTCTCCTTCTTCTCTTCGTCATCCTTCAGAGCTGTTTGGGGCAAGATAAGAAAAATACATTTCATTTACTTCTGGGACTCATTTCAAAGCCTTTTTTCAATGACAAATGAGAAAATCAGTGACGAATCTGCTGATGACCAATCAGAAGCAAGGATTTCGCTAGCTGTTAAACAAAAACTGTCATTGGTCACTGATGACAAGTTTTGTGAAGTGGGGCCCAGGTCTTCGGCCATAGGATTGGTAGATTAAGATGGCATGGACACATGCGGTTAGAAGAGAGAGGAAAGCTAATGACTACAGAAAGCAATTAATTTCATTCAGTGGTTTGTTACTCAAAACCCCTTAGCAGACCTTATAAAATTAGGAAGGAGATATTAGAGGAAGATGTGACTGTCCAGTCTCACCCAGGTGAAAGCTGAGAAAGGCTTGGAGATGGGTCATTGAGGAAATGAAAACTCCACGGCATGGGAAAAAACAGACAAAGATGATGGTGATGAAGAGGAAGAGGGCGTTTGTCTTTTTTAGGGCTGTGCACAACAGTGTAATTAGGTACCCGAGTACACTCCCAGGCTCACAGGCGAATACTCGAGTATTCGGACGCCATATTTTTTTATAATTTTTTTGAATTTTTTTGAATTTTTTTGAATTTTTTTGATTTTTTTTGAATTTTTGGATTTTTGGATTTTTTTTCTTTTTTTTCTTTTTTTGCCACTACCATACCTCTCGGCAGTTTCTCAGGTCCCTCGCTAAAAACGCATGCAACTTTACTTTGAGTTGCAGTTGAAGGCGCGGATTTAATAAGAATAATAACAGTAAACAATGCTGTTTTAAAAACCAAAGATGGCAGAATAATCCATTTTCCTCCAAGTCCAAACAGAAATCTGGACATTTGGTCTCAGTTTCTGAAAGGTGAGTTTGACAGTGCTTGAGTTGGGAAACATTTTTACCGACGGTACCATGCCAGCGGACGCTGCTCTCCCTGGCACGGGTAAGCGTGGGCCTGGACATTTTTTTTTTTTTTTTTTTTTTTTTTTTTTAATTTTTTTTTTTTTTGCGGCCGAATATTCGGGTACAAGAAATCGTACCCGAGTAGTTGTCAACCGTGCGGGTACTCGAGCATTCGACTACCCGTCGCAGCCTTAGTCTTTTTTTTATCATTAATATTAGTACTGTTTACCCCAAGGGCCCTACAATAAAATAATTAAACTGGCGTTAACCTAATTACTATAAGGTGCTCAAGCATTCAAGGAAGTTCTTCCTACAGGGTACCCATTTACTACACCTGGGTGGAGAGTGGCAAATTTAGATTAATTTCTGTCAAAGGGCAGAAGTGCCACTGTCGGGGATGGAACCGGGGACCATATGATTCACAGTACAGCAAAGTATCCACTAGAGTGACTAGACCATGACACCTCTGATGACAATGACAATTTGGAATCAAAGGAATGTGTTGTGAATAGGAAGGTATCGGTATGTCACTGCATGCAGGATCAACTCTAACTTAAAATCTGGTTTCCTTTTTCGGGCAGAAAAAGTTGACTGAATTTGTTCCTTTGGCGGCAAAGACTCTATTTCCTGGCTGAGATTAACGGATATAACCAAGCCTTTTCATGACCTTATTTGTTATTTTATTCATCTTCCATCTGTATTCACTGTTTTTTCCAACAACAAGGAACAGCGGTTTACAAGGTCATATGTTAACGAGCCGTAACACCTGCTGTAAAACAAATAGTACTGTAAGTAACAGGTGTCTTCATACATACTAATGTTCAATACAACGCTACATGTATGTAGATTGAATGTGTACATGTCTGATAATTTCTCTTCTCTTAGGTCCTCCACACCAAAGCTCTTACAAAGTGTACATCTTATGGAATATGGACACATCCTCCCTCAACAGAACAGGAAATTAACTCTGCGTAAAAGTTACGAGCTGAACGCCCTTCTGGCTCTCGGCAGATGGTATCGTAAAAGGTCAAAGGGTATCAGATAGCGCATAGACTTTGGACTACCGGTATCTACAGTGTACATGTAATACTATAGCTTCCACTTCCCTTACATGTAGTTCCTACATGTACTGTATATAAACACCAAAGCTCTTACAATGTACATATCTTGTAGACACAATGTATATTTCTTCAACAGATGAACTTTATATTTGTAAAGTTCCTTCTGGCCCTCAGCAGACGTTATCTTGAAAAGGTCAACAGGTATCAGATAGCGCATAGACTGTGGACTTTCTAATACTATACATGTAGCTTCCACTTCCCTTACATGTAGTTCTTATACAAACACTAAAGCTCTTACTACATGTCTTGTATACACAATGTATCCTTCTTCCAACAGATGAACTTTATACGTTGAAAGCTAGAAAGGTATTATCTTTTTTTGTATAGAGTTCATCAGACGTTGTCTTAAAAAGGTCAACAGGTATCAGATAGCACACAGACTGTGGACTTAAAACTAGCTTCCACTTCCCTTAGTTCCTACAACACCAAAGCTCTTACAATGTACATCAATTGTAAATATCTTGTAGACGCATACTTCCTCAACAGATGAACTTCATATGTTGAAAGCTAGAAGGACATCAACTCTGCGTAAAAGTTACGAGCTAAACGCCCTTCTGGCTCTGGGCAGATGGTATCGTAAAAGGTCAAAGGGTATCAGATAGCACATAGACTTTGGTCTTTCAAATAGCTTCCACTTTCCTTAAATGTACATGTAGTTCCTATAACACTATAGCTCTTACAATGTACATATCTTGTATACACAATGTATTAGGCCTGAGTCATGTCGGGATTTTCATAAACCGGGTCCCGACGGCCTTGTACCGATCGGGACCCGGTGTCCCGAAATCAGCTCGCAGGATTTGCCACTTGCCTCTATAAAAAGCGCATATCATCAGTATGTCCCTTAAAAGTGACCTTTTTTATCAATTAAATAAATCAACACATGCATACCTCTGCTCAGATCGGTATATTATTCCATTTGACATTATTTTTATCCATGATTGGCGATGTTTAGTGCCATTTTCGTACCTCTAAAAGTAAAAAAAACTGGAGCAGAAATAGAAAGACAACATTCGAGCCGCCATTTTGACTTATGCAGGTTGAATAAATCTGGTCAAAAATTATGAACGTTAGAATAATAAAACGTCTTTCTAAAAATTTCTTCTGTATAATATACCGATCATATAATATTTTAAAGACAAAATAAATATTTATCTCTTATTTTAAACATCGCATGCTTTTTTTAAAAGCTGAAAATTACTTGGTAATCAAGAATTTCGATACGGATAGCTGTTGCAAGGCAAGTTCAGACTAGCATCGGAAAAATGCGCAGTGCTCCTCGTAATTAGCTGTAATGCGTGCCAGAACGAACCCAAACAAAGACGTGACCGTAACGAGAAAAAAAATCATTAAAAACTACGAGAGCACAATTGGAAAGACAACTTCTGCTCAAAATTACCATAATCAGATATATAACTTGGACAATGAATTCAATAATCGCCCAAGAAATGCCTCAGAAATTGTGATAATCGAGGAGTAACTGGGTACATTTTTATCGCAAGGGGCCTGCTGCAAATACTCGAATCCTTTGTTATACTGCTTTTTACCGTAGAGGGCGTTATTTGCCTCGTATAGCCTCGTGTTCAATTTAAACACGTGTAATTCGGATATTGCAGCAGGCCCTTCCGATAATGATTGTACCTATAGTAACTCCTTAAATATCACTATTTATGTGGCTTTCCTTGGACAACTATAGTTTTCTTCCTCCAAGTTATGTATCTGCTTACGATAATTTTGAGTAGTTGTCTTTCCAATTGTGCTCTCGTAGTTTTTAATGATTTTTTTTCTCGTTACGATCACGTCTTTGTTTGGGTTCGTTCTGGCACGCATTACAGCTAACGAGGAGCACTGCGCATTTTCCCGAGACTAGTCTGAACTTGCCTTGCAACAGCTATCCGTATCGAAACTTCTTGTGATTACCAAGTAATTTTTAGCTTTTGAAAGAAGCATGCGGTGTTCAAAATCAAAGAAAAAATATCTTTTTTGTCTTTTAAAAATTATTCGATCGGTATGTTGTAAAGAAGTACTTTTTAGAAAGCCGTTTTATTATTCAAACATTAATGTTTCTTTCAACCTGATTTATTAATCCTGCCGAGAGACCCGGCCAGTACAGTAGCTAGCTAGCAGCTGGCAACAACAACCCCATGGGGCGAACTGCCTTGCATGCAACCCATATATTTATATCAGCAGTTCGGATTGATTCAGGATGAGCTAGAATATGATTGGTAACAATTAAATACTTAAGTTTTAAGGTGGATTGATTTTAGTGGTGTGCAAAACTGCAATTTCTTACATATTTCGTTATTTTTTTCGGAGCGTCGGTTCTCAAAAAACGAAACCGGGACCCGACGGCAACGGTCGGGTCCCGGTGTGATCGACCGTACCGACTCAAGCCTACAATGTATCCTTCTTCAACAGATGAACTTTATATGTTGAAAGCTAAAAAGGTATTATCTCTTTTTTTAAGTATATGAGTTTAAGTTCCTTCTGGCTCTTCGCAGACGTTATCGTAAAAAGGTCAACAGGCATCAGATAGTGCATAGACTCTGGACTTTCAAATAGTTCCACTTCCCTTTTATAGTTCCTATATCACCAAAGCTCTTACAATGTACATGTACATATCTTATGGACACATCCTCCCTCAACAGATGAACTTGATATGTTGAAAGCTATAAGGGTATAAACTCTGTGTAAAATCAATGGGCTAAACGCCCTTCTGGCTCTCGGCAGACGTTGTCGTAAAAAGGTCAAAGGGTATCAGATAGCACACAGACTGTGGACTTTTAAATAGCTCCACTTCCCTACATGTACATGTACAGTAGTTCCTATTTAACACCAAAGCTCTTACAATATCTTGTAGACACATCCTTTTTATCTTTTTTTTTAGTACAGGCCGCCATCCATCTCCAGCCTAACCGCTCACGATGGTGGTCTCATGCGTTCCAAATTACCTCTCTTATTT